AAGTGGTTGCGATCTTTCAATTCTTATTACCGTTTACACTGAAGAAAACTGATGATGCTGTCCGAGCAGAAGCTTGATCCGTTTGAGCATGGTATTATGCGTGAACCACTGAAAGGGTACGGCTTAAAACTAGCCTGTTGGAATATTCAGCAAAACTGGGACTTTCGATTTGGGTTGTCATTATAGGTGGATTAGACATCAGCCTTGGTGAGGGCGTCGAGAACGAGAGCTTTCTCGAACAAAATACGACGGGGCAAGTTAGCTGACGTAGGTAAATGTTAAACATGATGATGTTGCCCAATCCTCGGGTAATGTCTCCATCTTTAGCTTTCTCTGATGCTTATTGGGCAGTCAGAGGTTTCTGCTGGGGGAGTTTTGTCGACAAATGTTAAATTTTTCACCCGCACACAGATGGTGATAGACATCTCGGGGCCGCTGTTGCGTTTGTTCTGAGCATTTCTTTACACACTGGTGTATTTCAGCATTTGTACGGCAACAGAGCGATTTAAAACCTGCAAATAAATCACGGGTTGTCAATTGCTTCCTTCGTGAAATAGCAGACGCTCACAATTCAAGCTCGCGTTTGATTTTGTTGCCCGCGGAACGCGATTTCTATCAGAAAATCTACTTTTTTTTCCGTTCGGTTCCGCGACACATCGTAGCAGACGAACCCTCGTCGTCTGCTCCCGCTCCTCGCCGGCCCCACCGCCCCACCGGAGCGAGGCATGACGGGATTGCATTTTGGCGCACTCCCGATTTTCTCAGTGCAGCGAGTGCATGCACGCGTGGGGTGTCAGCGCTGAAACGAACTCGGAGAGTGCAACCACTCGTGGAGTGCCGACCGAAACGAACCCGTTCCACGCTGCGAGTGGGCACGCGTGGGCACGAGTGCCGTGAAACGAACTCGCTATTAGATATTTCGGTAGGTTTCACTCGATTTTGCGAGAACGGAGAAATAAGCGACGTCCACAGGGCTTTATTTAAAAACTGCTATCCTTCGAATGTGGTCGACTTCGAGCGTAGGACGGCGTACAAGGTGTCTTGGGACGGCGACGCGAACGCTCGAGGAGGCTATTACGACGCCGAGATCCTCGAATTGACGGGTGAGTGTGTATTTTTTACCATCCCGAAGTGCGACGTAGCCACAAGCATTCGCCGTTTTCTTTCCTTTTTTTTGCGACTGTAATTAAAAGTGAACATTGTAGATTGCTTATATGGGGCACCAAGCTAGGCAGATGAATGCATGGGCTAATACTTCAGTTGAGCGTGTGGACTGAAATGCCTTGCACGTGACATCATATGGCACCCTGCAAGCCGCCATTGCTCCTGCGCCTTAAGTCCGCGCTAATTTATTCGTACTCCACCGTTCCGAGTTTCACACTCCGAGCGCAGCAACTAAACGAAGCATAGCGTACAGTAGCGCAACACACCGAAGCTGTCGGCGAGCTGTATGAGCCACTTCCGACCACAGTTTTATGACAAACCCAGCATCTCGCGGATGCCAAAATTATTTTGAACATAAATTAATTAAGGGCTCTGTAAAATGGTAAAGTAAAAGCCCCCCCCCCCCCCCCCCACACACACACACACACAAAAAAAAAAAGAAATGCGCGGCGACGTTAGGAAATTTTTACGAATGTTTTAATATTTGTGAAAGGTTTGAAGACTCGCTTCGACCAGATATGCTGAATGTTACTTTGACCGATCTATTTATTGACCATGCATGCTGTTTAGATTCAAATGAAAGACAACATTCTTGAACTCGCTTGTCAAAACAAGAAACTCTCAAACTTGTCAGATATCTTGGGTTTCCGTCTTCCAGCGCGAGATGGAACCTGTCGATGTGCTACTCCAATACTGGCACACCACCGTTCTATAAATAGCACATTAATTAGTTTTCAGGCGAGATGCATGGACAAACTTTTTCCGCAACGTTTTCGCTTTCCAATCGAAGTATCTTTATTCGCAGGGCTGTGCATTCTACAAAGGGCAACGATCGGACTGTCCTCTCATCTCGACAACTTTTCTGTCGCTGTACCATCATAATGCTATTGTTCGATGGGTAATTGGTTTTCAGGTGAGATTCGGGAACAAACCTTTTCCGTAATGGTCCTGGCTTTGAAATCAAGTCATTTTACTCGCTGGGTTAAGCATTCTTCAACTGAAATGAGGCAGCGATCCACTGCACTCCTCGTCTCGGCGACGTTTCTGTCAGCGCGAAGAAATGACTTGCACTTCGAGAAATACTCGGTGCAAAAAGAGCACGCTTGAGTGTCAGTCCTTTGGTGGCGCTTCTGTCCATTTAATGAACAGAGCGCCAAACTCTTGCGCTCCGCAGCACAAACTTAGGCGCACAATCGTGGCTGATTCAATGTCAATTCATGCGAGTCATATAATACATGGCTTGCATTGATGTTGCATCAGCTGCCATTGCTTCCTGACCAATTTATTTATTCATGATCACAAATGTACAGTCGGGGACAAAAGTCCCCAGGACGTGCTAGCTGCGGCTGAAACCCATTGCTCTGCCACCTGCCGGCGGGTCGCCTGGTTTCGAGATCACACAAAAGCGCATGCGCGTCCTACTCTGCCTGCAAACGTGTGTTTCCTGCTCTTCTGCGGCACAGCACCTAACTAGGAATCGGGCACATGGTACCGCCTCGGAGATAGCGCTGGCGGCTGACGAGCGTCTGCTATACATTCCGAAACTCGAGATACCGCCTGGGGCATTGCGCCGCATTTCGTCGTGTCAGCGCACCTTGCTTTATAACCAGTTCAGCTTATCGCTTAATTGAGCTGCCGTGACTTCTTGCTTTATAGGTGCCGTGTCAGTAAGCACTATCTCCGAAGTGGTACCACGCGCCCGATTCCGAGTTAGGCGCCGCGCCGCAGCAGAGCGGGAAAGCGCACACGTTGGCAGGTACAATAGGACGCACGTGCGCCCTTCTGTGATCTCGAAACCAGGCGACCCGCCGGCAGATGGCAGAGGAATGCGTTTCAGTCGCAGCTTGCGTGTCCTGGAGACTTTTGTCCCCGACTGTACCTACAAGAAACCCAAGAGGAAATGGCAACTGAACTGGCCAGGCGCAAACAGGCAGCTGAAGCATCTGCAAGTTCTCACAAAGCTGCTCCTCCCAGGAACGTCAGCCCTTGTGCCCTCTAACGCAAAGCAGTTTTTGTGGAAAGTTTGTCACCAGAATATTATTACCTGTCTATGTAATGTGGTACAGCCTATTTTTTATGGGAGTGTCCAAAAGCTAAATCTTAACGCTAATTAAATTTTTAGATGCGGTTTATGTCAGGACAAAAGCTGAAAGTGACGTTGTTGCAAGGCTCTCAAAAGCAGCGCCAGCCACATATGGCTAGCAGCGACCGAAACGGGCACACAACTGGCCAATCCAATTGATGCAGAAAGAGAGCTGGTCGTGCACAAAATGTGAGTGTGGAGAGCAGCTTGGGAATCCCAACACTGCGTAATGTCATGTCGAGTCCTTAACATTTATACTTCCTTGGGATTGCTCTGTTTCACCACTCAGTCAAGGCTTTGCAGTTTACCAAGCCTTCTTTATTTCACAAAGGCCAGTAAAGCAGTCGGGAGTGACAAGGAAGACAAAGAATCAACTAAATCACAAAAAAAAAGAAAAATAGCACAGGGATTTAGTTTGGTGCCGGCAACAATGTGTTGTCATGATTTGTTGATGAGGAATGCCATGCTTTCTGCCTACACCCCAATGTGCGTGAGAATGCTGCTAGGGGGCACACCGGCAGAGCTGCTAGAAACACCTTTCTCTGACTTACCCTGCTCTATCAATTGCAGGACTACCTGCGGCTCGGCTGTTGATGCGGGAGGTGCTGTAGGGCCCTACTGCCTAACACGTAAGTCATTCATGGCCTGACCTCTGGGTACTCGTATGTTTACCATACTAACGGAACCCATGCTTTAGCATTAAAAAGGTAACTTTTTTAATGAACCTGCAGTATATAAAAGAAGTTTGCTGTGCGGTGATAGAGCCGAACATGTCATATGCAACACATGGCTTATATCTTGCATAGAGGATATTCATTCATAAAGGGTGGAAACAATAATGCTAAGAAAGAAGGCATAAACGGCAAAGAGCTCTCTACTCTACTGTTGTGGCTGCGCTCTGTTGCTGAGCAGAATGACCGAGGAATGTCCTTCCTACGTCATGACTACGTAGCAAGTTCCTCAATGTTGCTAGATTACCTCCCAAATAGGCTCCACATGCATCCACCAGGTGCACATTGGAAGATTGTTTGATTAGCTTTAAAATTAGTTTGCTTGTGCCCTTCAGCAAAGGACTGGTATTTTTGAGGTTATGTTGCAACCTGCAACTCATTAAAGCGATAAAATGAGCGCTGGAATTTGGTTTCTGTACCTCTTTAATGTGAAATTGTTTTTTTCAGTTGCTGACGAGGACATCCTGCAAAGAATGAGATCGTGGATCCTATATCCAGAAAAGGAAGGAATGGTAAAATAGAAAAACTTTTCACTTTCATTCAGTGTATAATATACATTAAAAGAGTTTAGGATAGTGCAGGGGTGGCCAGAGTGACATGGAGTTAGAGCCGCAGACAAAACTACGAAAGTTTAGAGTCGCTGGAAAAAGGAAAGGGGGGGGGGGTGCTACTTTTAACAAGAAACAATATGCAGGGAACAGTTATTTCCATAGAGGACAAGTATAATGGGCGATAACAACAAATGACACTATGCATCAAAAGGTCCTTTCCACTGCTAAGCAAAAATTAATACACGATTCACTAGCCAGTCACTGCCCCTGACAACTGTTATGCGTATACGGTTGAAAGTCTTTCTAGAACAATAAAGGAAACGGGGTCACTCGACGCATCTATGTGGCAAAAAGCATGCCACGTGTATATATGTAGTGTGTTGCCAGGCTGCCAAGACTTGTAGCTCTTTCTAAATACTAGAACCCTTTTCATCTAGGGGACACGTTTTCCAGGGAGCCGCGAGCTGCACCTGGACCCGCAAAGAGCCGCGTGCGGCTCGCGAGCCTCACTTTGGCCACTCCTGAGATAATGTAAGCACAGTAGATTGAATCGATTGCAACAAGAAGTCATTAAAACATTATTGTAGCCAGGCTCTTCATTGTAGTTACAGCCAGTGCCTGGAAAACATTCTGTTGTCATGCTCACCTGATGCAACTAAGGGATTATGTAGCTGTTTCATGCAGATGCCATGAAGCTTTGTAGGCCCATCAGCTTCGCAGACGCCCATGAAGATAGGAATTCATGTGTAGTGCTGTCTTAAATTTAAAGGCCTAAATTTCATTAATGTAATTATTTTAGTGCATTTTCAATGCATCTTGGAGTATACAGTACCACTCTACGTCAACGACTGGTATATGTGAAGCTGTTTCTCGCTTTTGTTTATAACAGATCCATGTCGGGCAAGGTGTGCACGTCAACCAGGAATGCGGGCAACATGCGGAGAGCAGAGTGCGACTCCATGTTTTGCAAGATCACTGCTGCTTCCATAGGGTGAGTGGAAGTGCTTTTGGAGAGGTCGGTGACCGGCACCCTCTCCAACAAGGCAAAGGCAGCGAGGCAAGAGAAGGCCTTTGCCCCGCTCACTCAGCGCAAGGTGCAGGCTCTCTCATTAAGCAAACATTTTTAAAATCTTGATATGAATCTGCGGAGTCGCGTAAAATATTTCATGCTAAATTCGTATCAACGAAAGAGAAACAAAATTTATATTTTGAAACACAAGGAATGCATGAATGGGCATTTATTTTTGGCAGAAAATATCTTGTATGCAATTTACACGATTCTAACACGCCCCCAATAGTAACACACGGTTATAATCAACCCACGAATGTTGAAAAAATGAATTAATGTCGATTCTACTGCGCCGATAAATGTCGATTCTACTTCGCAGATAAAATAATGACGGCTGAACAACATACACTTTGTGGAAAAATTTTATCAAATGCACATACTCGGAAAGTGCCCACACTATGTGCTGTTGAAGCCCTACATCAAAAACTTGCAAGCAAAAATTCGGTTTCTTTGTCTTTCCAACCAAACTCGCATGTCACCGTGGACCACACCGAAGACACCACCAACATCACTCGGTTTTCTGTTTTTTGCCAACGCAGTTACTTTGTTTTTTAGAGGTAACCTTATAGTAAAATCGGTTTTGCTTTTCCAAGGCTGAAACACCATTCCACGAGATTGCAAAAACAAAAAGCGATTTTGGATTCAGATTGGATTGGATTTGAAACATGTGTTGATGGTGATGGGGCTGGCCACTTTGCAGTTTTTTTTTAGCATTTTGTTTAGTTTTGGTTTTCAGGTCCGATTGTAACATGCATGTAATTTTGAGCTCCAGTTTTTGGGTAAAGTGCGGCTGATCCCTGGCAGCAACAGGCAATCAGCCGCCCAGAGCCTTGAAAGCTTACAGTCGCCGATCGTGGCCTCCTTGCCACTATCAGTTGTGGAGCACGCATTCGTATCAGCCGTCGCAGTGCGTAGAGGAATTCGGAACACCCAAAACTTTTCACGTCGTATACAATGCACTTCGGCCGGGGAATTTGTTAATTTGTTTTATTCCGAAATTCGTACCAGTTAGTATCACCGAGATTTTACTCTAGTAGGTTGTCTGCTAACACCTGGACATGTGATGGGGGTACCCCGCCAAGAATGAGTCAATCATAACAGATAATAACCGTAAATAATCGCACATTTGTATTTTGAACAGATAATTTTATTTTTCGTTCTAAGCAACAAACTCGAGCAAGTGCTCGAAGAGAAGTCAACGGAGAGCTCGATGCGTCGTGGGCTATCCGGCAAAGCTGGCGTGGCTACGAGCTGTGCCGTTCGGGTGCATAGTGGTGGTGTAGACGTGTTACAGCCTAGCCATTTGAAACACCTGTGGGCTTTACGTGGACCAAAGCGGACTAAGCCGTCTAAGCGCCTATGTGTGAGATAAGTAATGTCAAGGTCATCGCGTTCAGGGCGAGATTACTCCAACAGTTGAGTATACCTCCAAACAACGGCGCTGCTCCGATGTGTAGTGCAGCTACATAGCGGTTTTCGCCATGTCACGACTACGTCCAAGATCCCCAACATTGCTAGATTACTTCCCAACGAAGCTTCAGAGGCCTCCACCAGGTGTACATTGAAAGACTGTTTAATTACCTTTAAATTTAGAGCCAGGCCATGAATGGAAGATCTTTCAAGGAATGTGAGAGATTTTTATATAGAACTGCATTGTTCTTTCTGGTGCTCATGATGCTATTTTTTTAATCCTGTGGCGTGTCTAAGCTGTTACCACAGCGAGGGATGATAACCAAGTATAAGCAGTTTCCAACGTACATTGTCTACTTATCTACAGTTGTAGCTCCTATTTCTTACAAGGTCACTAGCCTAGCAGTGAGATTTATAGACATGGGCTACCTGTTTTGTGCTTAAAAGAATCTAACAGAAGCCACTATTGGGAGTGGAACATAAATCAGGATACTGCGGTACTTTTGCTTTCATGGTGATCTCTGAACACTGTAAATACTAAGAAACGTTGAAGGTTTGTTAGGTGCCAGCTGCGACTTAATTGCTTTTATTTGAGACTAATTTACCCTTGGTCTTCTCAAACTATGACCCTCCAGCCTGTATTTATGACGTTCTATATTGTTTTAAGTGTGAGCACTGCAAAAAATAATTACCCTGGAATTTCAATATTCCAGGCTGCTTTTGACTACACCTGAGGGAGAAAGGTACCACCAGGCTGGCTGAAAGGGCAGCCCGGCACCAGAAGATACGGCGGTACCTGTCAGAAAAGCTGTCTAATCTCAAGAGAAATCACTACAAAGGTATGTGCATCTATACTCTAACTTCCTTAATTAAGTAATATACTATTTTGGGTCTCAAGTTTACAAGCAATTATTTTAAATGACGGTACAGATAAATTATTTAGTGGTTAATATATCTAAATGTTTATGCAAACAACTTTAAAGTAGTCGGTTGATCAGCTGACCACTTGAAAAAGGCTGTGGGTTGCTTGGTCGCTACTGCCATCCCATCAGGCCGTGCTCGCTCACTCTCCAAAAAGTTGCATGGTCACACAATTACAATGAAGCACGTCACTCTTACTGCCCCTTAGTCGTCTCTAGGCCCACTCTGCTGTTTACGTGTGTCAATGGTCGTCCTGTGTTTGGACTCATTGCTGATCTCTGAATTGCCCTTGATATGTCCAGGCTCATCCCTTTGCTGCATGTCCTCCTCCGATGCGTGGTCCCACCACGGACTGCCCATGCTGTTGCAGGTCTGCCATCGCTTGCACCCCATGTTGTAGCCTTTTTACCCTTTTCTTCATATTAATTTAGCTTAATTTATATATTGCCAATACTATTGAAATGGAACAATTGTACTATCGCAGCCAATATGAGCTGAAACGCCACTGCATGTGGCACGCGATGAGAGTTGTCTCTCAGATTGTTCAGCAAACCTTGGTATGCGTTGAGGTAGAAACAAATCACTTCTTGTGCTCGTTGCACCACTATGCCGTTCCGTGTCAATTTTCAGCTCATGGTGGCACAATGAGTGCAAGAAGCAACCTGCCTAAACCTCAGCAAACACAGAGGTTCACTGAAAATCCGACAGGTGGCTCTGATAGTACCGCATGCCAAGCGTCATGGCGCTTCAACTAATATTGGTCACAATAGTACTTCCTTAAATGTTTCTGGTTTTTCTGTACCACCTAGCCATTCCGCCCAGCGAAACAATGTATGATTTCATAACTTCATAATAAAAATATCAAAGCAATGCAGCTTGTTTGACTTTATTCTTATTAGTAGCTGCATTCGCCGTACTCAAATGTCGGGCTGGCGATTACCAGTGTGCAGTGGACAATATAATTAAATTCTAAGTGGGATATGCACCTCGTCATGCTCCAGGCATGGCATAATTAAGTTTCCAGATTATGCATTCACATATTGTTGTGTTTTTTAAGTTGTGGCCAACTCGAACTGTTTCAAATTAGCCATGAAACCACCCTAATCAAACCGTAAAAAAATAGGCGTCTCAAAATACGACAGGTCATTCGACCATCAGACCAATCCAACAGACCATCAAACCATCAGGCCATCAAACCATCAGGCCAACAGACCATCAGGCCATCAAACCATCAGGCCAACAGACCATCAAACCACCAGGCCAACAGACCATCAAACCATCAGGCCAACAGACCATCAGGCCATCAAACCATCAGACGTCCCAAAATACGACTCCATCAGACCATCAGACCATCAGGATTTTCCTGATGGTCTTTTCGATAGGGTTGCGACTAGTGTTTTGACTGTTTTGACTGCTGAGGGAACATAGAGACGCAGCGGAAAACGCGCGCGAGGACTGCGTAGGAAATATGACGAGTTTTTGTTCGCGTTGATGTGCTCGGATTAGTGATCTTCGTCTGTTGCTTGTGAATACAGTTCAACCAAGAATCACATGTGCTCGAGGAAATCAGGCAGGGTCGCGAAACTTTTCTCCGTCCCCGCGTCGATACGACGTTAAGCGGAACAGGTCTCGTTCTAACGAACCATGCTGTGCCGCTGGGCTGACTGTTACGCGGCTTTAAGTGATTACACGTGCTGCACTGGTTCGCAGTATAGCAATTGGGGTCCAAGCGGATGTTCAGCACACAGGCACCTGGTTACAGGGGCGAAGACAATCCGTGCGGAGTCGATGATAGCGGCGCTGAACTTAGCCTGAGGAAGCAGCGTGGGACGAGGACGACGAAGTGGCAATCCGGCTCACTTGGAGAACAGTGCCGCTATCAGAGGTGGCCGCAGGGACAGCTGCCCACAAACTGTGAAATCCTTCAGCTTTTTTGGCCCTCGTTTCCAGGAGTGTCTGGCAGACGCCCAGTTCAAGACTCGGGAGCAGCGGGATATGGGGCGTATGTGTATCAACCTCAGCGCGTTTCGTCTCAAGCGGTGACGAGTGTCTTTCCAAAGGGTTATTGTGTTGTTCGGCGCCTGTATTTGGAGTTCGCTGTTTATATTGTCAGTACGCCGTAAAGTCTTATTTACGTGTCACGCATGTTCGCGTGTTGCGTGATCAAATTCCGTGCGATGTGTAGCGCCTCTATGCAACTTCAGGAAATTGTATTGATTTTTATCTAGTTTTGCATGCTGGTTGCAATGGTGATTGCAAATGAACATGTTCCTCTGATAGTCTGCCGTTTTTGTTTTTTTACACTATGGTCTGCATGCGTGGATGCGTCCCTGCTACGCCGTGTTTAAGAGTCCTCTTCGGCATTCGCTATATTATCAGAAGTGGATAATTCCAATGGGTGGGCAAATAAAGGGTCTAGGTTCGTGTCCCTGCTTGCACTTTGTTTACATGAATTTCTTGTTTTAAGGTTTCACCTAATATTGTTTCTTCGTTTATCGAACATTAAATAAATTCACGCATCAAAAACACACTAGGCACACGCAAACGTGTTATGGGGGAATTTCTGTCCTCCCTTACTTGCGCGCGTTTGCTCTTTGATGGGGATCCATGTGCACGCTGCGTTAGAGCTGCGTCAGAACCACGCCCAAATAATTCATGTTATATACTTAAAGTATCCTTCCAGTCTACATGAATTGTGGTCATATTCTACTAGAAGTGCACTTGCAATCTACTAAATGTACATATGTGTTGTACTTGTACTGGCGGTGTACTTGCAATGTATTTAAGGCGTGCGGGTCGCAAGTTCGTCTGCATATTTTGCAGGGGTTGCGATGATGTCAGAACGCCGAGCTTTGATTGGCTCTGATTGAGAGATAGTGGGTAGACCTCAAGGCTGCTTGCTTTGAGGTCCTCCCTCTCTCCTTCAATCAAAGCCAATCAGAGCTCGGCATCTTTCCGACGTCACAACAATTAACCCCTGCAAAATAAGCAGACGAATTTGCGCTCCGCATAGAAGCAATACGCTATAAAGTACAGACATAGTGTACTCTCAGTGCACATGCAACATACAAGAAGTGTGGTAGCAGTATGCTGTAAGTACAGAGGAAGTGTACTTTTTTTAAATTTGTTTACGAAAGAGTTACGCTTAAAGGATAGAACAGAGACATCACATCTTCCGAATTTCAACACACGTATATTTATTTTCCACGGGCAGCGGACCTCCGAATTTGCGGCAGGGATGGGGAAAGGAGCAAAACGGGGGAAGATGGAGGAGTCTGTGTTCTGTCCTTCAGGTGTAAGTAACTCTTTCGTTAAAAAAAATATGCAATACCAACGCGCTCCCTAAAAAACAGTACTTTCTTGTTTCATAAAAGTGTGAAGTGTGGTGTTAGTACGTCCTCTGAGTACACTTTCAGTACGTTTTCAGTACACCGATTCTGCACCGATTTTTCCAAGGGGTATTAAATTGCTCACTTAAAAAAGAAATAAAACACGAGACAAAAAGAAAAGTTAGGTGAAGATGAGCAGACCTGGAATACGAGACTATTCTTCATTTCAGCTGAAGAACTTTCGGGAAATGTACCGCTGTTTTTTCTAACTCCGGAAAAAGGGCTTATCTCCTAAGCCATACACGAAAACTTGAAACGGTAGTAGAAGAAAATAAAAAAATAAAAAGAAACGACGAGAGGATTTTAAAATGGGCTTACAGGACGAGCGGAGAACAACTCAAAACTTTCTCCGACTGCTCCCGAGGGCACAATTTTAGCTTTGCTCGTGAAAATAGTGCTACACCATCGAAGCAGAATAGGATGAAGTGAAAACAGCATCAGCGCGCACTGGAAAAGTCGGCAATACGAATCATTTTTGTAAGTGCCGCTGCCAAACTTGGAAATAACGATTTCTCGTAAGTGTTGGTGTTGTTGTTTAAATACTCACATATCCATAAATAAAAAAAATATATATATGAAAAATTCACATACAAATTAAAAAAAGGAGGTTTAGTGTACTCCCCGGAGTGCACTCAAATGACTTTTCTGTAAGAGCCGCTGCAAACTCGAAACTCGAGTTAGTCGTAGTTGTCGATTTTGTTGAAATACTCGCATAACCAGAAGATATAGATAAAAAGAAATTATAATAAACAAAAATACAAATTACGTTCATAGCGCTATAGAGATTTTTACTTAAAAGAGGCGTTAAAGACTTATCTTCGTGGCTGCAATAAATATATCCTAGATTATATTTCACAGAAACAATTCACAAAAACTTTCACGACAGACCTACCGCGAACAAATGCAGAAGCCACATGCCTCGGCATAGTTTTAATTATGATGTGGGTTTGTTTGCATGGCCTCCCGCCATGCAACGTGAGGCCCCCTCAATGGGCGTCCGGTGTCTCAGCTGTGCAGATGGGCAATTTATCTAGTGCCGTACCACTGCTATTACAAGGTATTTAAAGCATACCGCCACGCAGTAGCGATACACGACGCTGTACTCCAGTACGATGCTCATCCAGATCGAAGCGCGGGTGGGGGAGGGGGGGGGGGGGGCACTGAGCCCAGTATTTATTGGTTGTGTGCAGCGCGAGCCTTTGTTCCAGGTGATTCGAGATGCAGTTCGTTGACACGCTCGGACACCGATGCAGCGCCCCCTGAAGGTCGGTTCACACAGGTCGTTTGTCTACCCCTATAAAAATGATTTTTGACTTTTTATTGAAAACGTGTTGACTTCTTGTTGACTCTGATTACTCTTTGTTGACATGGTGAACTGAAAGTTTGTTGAATTTGTGTTGAAACTTTGCTGATGATTTTCTTTAGCCTGAGTCAAAAAAAAAGCTCT